CCCCCACCCATTCCATGATAAGGAAGCTCCACCCATTCCATGATAAGGAAGCCTCCACCCATTCCATGATAAGGAGGCCCCCACCCATTCCATGATAAGGAAGATCCACCCATTCCATGATAAGGAGGTCCTCACCCATTCCATGATAAGGAGGCCCCCACCCATTCCATGATAAGGAAGCTCCACCCATTCCATTATAAGGAGGTCCTCACCCATTCATGATAAGGAAGCTCCACCCATTCCATGATAAGGAGGCCCCCACCCATTCCATGATAAGGAAGCTCCACCCATTCCATGATAAGGAGGCCCCCACCCATTCCATGATAAGGAAGATCCACCCATTCCATGATAAGGAGGTCCTCACCCATTCCATGATAAGGAGGTCCTCACCCATTCCATGATAAGGAAGCTCCACCCATTCCATGATAAGGAAGTCCTCACCCATTCCATGATAAGGAAGCCCCCACCCATTCCATGATAAGGAAGCCCCCACCCATTCCATGATAAGGAGGCTCTACCCATTCCATGATAAGGAAGCTCCACCCATTCCATGATAAGGAAGCCCCCACCCATTCCATGATAAGGAAGCTCCACCCATTCCATTATAAGGAGGCCCCCACCCATTCCATGATAAGGAAGCTCCACCCATTCCATGATAAGGAGGCCCCCACCCATTCCATGATAAGGAAGATCCACCCATTCCATGATAAGGAGGTCCTCACCCATTCCATGATAAGGAGGTCCTCACCCATTCCATGATAAGGAGGCCCCCACCCATTCCATGATAAGGAAGCTCCACCCATTCCATGATAAGGAGGCCCCACCCATTCCATGATAAGGAAGCCCCCACCCATTCCATGATAAGGAGGCCCCCACCCATTCCATGATTAGGAAGCTTCACCCATTCCATGATAAGGAGGCTCCACCCATTCCATGATAAGGAAGCTCCACCCATTCCATGATAAGGAGGCCCCCACCCATTCCATGATAAGGAAGATCCACCCATTCCATGATATAAGGAGGTCCTCACCCATTCCATGATAAGGAGGTCCTCACCCATTCCATGATAAGGAAGCTCCACCCATTCCATGATAAGGAAGTCCTCACCCATTCCATGATAAGGAAGCCCCCACCCATTCCATGATAAGGAAGCCCCCACCCATTCCATTATAAGGAGGCTCTACCCATTCCATGATAAGGAAGCTCCACCCATTCCATGATAAGGAAGCCCCCACCCATTCCATGATAAGGAGGCTTCACCCATTCCATGATAGGGAAGCCCTCACCCATTCCATGATAAGGAGGCCCCCCACCCATTCCATGATAAGGAAGGTCCACCCATTCCATGATAAGGAGGCCCCACCCATTCCATGATAAGCAGGCCCCCACCCATTCCATGATAAGGAGGCCCCCACCCATTCCATGATTAGGAAGCTTCACCCATTCCATGATAAGGAGGCTCCACCCATTCCATGATAAGGAAGCTCCACCCATTCCATGATAAGGAGGCCCCACCCATTCCATGATAAGCAGGCCCCCACCCATTCCATGATAAGGAGGCTCCACCCATTCCATGATAAGCAGGCCCCCACCCATTCCATGATAAGGAGGCCCCACCCATTCCATGATAAGGAGGCCCCCACCCATTCCATGATAAGGAGGCTACACCCATTCCATGATAAGGAGGCCCCCACCCATTCCATGATAAGGAGGCTCCACCCATTCCATGATAAGGAGTCTCCACCCATTCCATGATAAGGAAGGTCCACCCATTCCATGATAAGGAAGGTCCACCCATTCCATGATAAGGAGGCCCCCACCCATTCCATGATAAGGAGGCCCCCACCCATTCCATGATAAGGAAGCTCCACCCATCATATACTCTATTAGAATGTACTCCATATCCTGAACATGTTCTCTGATGTCAGGTTTGGGAATTCTGGGTAATTCCATGTATTTGGCTGATCTTGAATGTTGGAAATCTTGGACTACACGTTTCTCTGTCCCAATCTCTGGGGTTTTAGAATCTCTAGGGATTTCAGAGATTGGGAATCTTGGGGCATTCTGTGTGTTCAGCTTGATTTTGGAGGCTGGGAATCTTGGGGTACACAATGTATTCGGCTTGGTCTCGGAGGTTGGGTATATTGGGGTACACTGTGTATTCAGCTTGATCTCGGAGGTTGGGTTTATTGGGGTACACTGTGTATTCGGCTTGATCTTGGTGGTTGGGTATATTGGGGTACACTGTGTATTCGGCTTGATCTTGGAGGTTGGGCATATTGGGGTACACTGTGTATTCGGCTTGATCTTGGAGGTTGGGTATATTGGGGTACACTGTGTATTCGGCTTGATCTTGGAGGTTGGGTATATTGGGGTACACTGTGTATTCGGCTTGATCTTGGAGGTTGGGTATATTGGGGTACACTGTGTATTCGGCTTGATCTTGGAGGTTGGGTATATTGGGGTACACTGTGTATTCGGCTTGATCTTGGAGGTAGGGTATATTGGGATTTGCTGTGTATTCGGCTTGATCTCTGAGGTTGGGAATATTGGAGTACACTGTGTATTCAGCTTGATCTCGGAGGTTGGTTATATTGGGGTACACTTTGTGTTCAGCTTGATCTTGGAGGTTGGGTATATTGGGGTATGCTGTGTATTCAGCTTAGTCTCAGATGTTGAGTATATTGGGGTGCACTGTTTGTTCTGCTTGATCTTGGAGGTTGGGTATATTGGGGTACACTGTGCATTCTGCTTGATCTTGGATGTTTGGTATATTGGGGTACACTGTGCATTCTGCTTGATCTTGGAGGTTGGGTATATTGGGGTACACTGTGTATTCGGGTTGATCTTGGAGGTAGGGTATATTGGGGTACACTGTGTATTCAGCTTAGTCTCAGAGGTTTGGTATATTGGGGTGCGCTGTTTGTTCAGATTGATCTCGGAGGTTGGGTATATTGGGGTACACTGTATATTCAGGTTCATCTCAGAGGTTGGGTATATTGGGGTACGCTGTGTATTCATCCAAGAGGTTGGGTATATTGGGGTATGCTGTGTATTCATCCAAGAGGTTGGGTATATTGGGGTACACTGTGTATTCATCTTGGAGGTTGGGTATATTGGGGGTACCCTGTGTATTCATCCAAGAGTTTGGGTATATTGGGGTACACTGTGTATTCATCTTGGAGGTTGGGAATATTGGGGTACGTTGTGTATTCATCCTGGAGGTTGAGTATATTGGGGTGCACTGTTTGTTCGGATTGATCTCGGAGGTTGGGTATATCGGGGTACGCTGTGTATTCATTCTGGAGGTTGGGGTATATTGGGGTACTCTGCGTATTCATCCTGGAGGTTGGGTATATTGGGGTACCCTGTGTATTCATTCTGGAGGTTGGGTATATTTGGGGTACTCTGCGTATTCATCCTGGAGGTTGGGTATATCGGGGTACCCTGTGTATTCATTCTGGAGGTTGGGTATATTGGGGTACTCTGCGTATTCATCCTGGAGGTTGGGTATATCGGGGTACCCTGTGTATTCATCCTGGAGGTTGGGTATATTGGGGTACTCTGTGTATTCATCCTGGAGGTTGGGTATATCGGGGTACCCTGTGTATTCATCCTGGAGATTGGGTATATTGGGGTACTCTGTGTATTCATCCTGGAGGTTGGGTATATTGGGGTACCCTGTGTATTCATCCTGGAGGTTGGGTATATCGGGGTACCCTGTGTAATCATCCTGGAGATTGGGTATATCGGGGTACCCTGTGTAATCATCCTGGAGATTGGGTATATCGGGGTACTCTGTGTATTCATCCTGGATGTTGGGTATATCGGGGTACTCTGTGTATTCATCCTGGAGGTTGGGTATATCGGGGTACCCTGTGTATTCATCCTGGAGGTTGGGTATATTGGGGTACTCTGTGTATTCATCCTGGATGTTGGGTATATCGGGGTACCCTGTGTATTCATCCTGGAGATTGGGTATATTGGGGTACTCTGTGTATTCATCCTGGATGTTGGGTATATCGGGGTACCCTGTGTATTCATCCTGGAGATCAGGTATATTGGGGTACGCTGTGTATTCATCCTGGAGGTTGAGTATATTGGGGTGCGCTGTTTGTTCGGATTGATCTCGGAGGTTGGGTATATTGGGGTACGCTGCGTATTCATCCTGGAGGTTGGGTATATTGGGGTACTCTGTGTATTCATCCTTGAGGTTGGGTATATTGGGGTACTCTGTGTATTTATCCTGGAGGTTGGGTATATTGGGGTACCCTGCGTATTCATCCTGGATGTTGGGTATATTGGGGTGCGCTGTTTGTTCGGATTGATCTCGGAGGTTGGGTATATTGGGGTACTCTGTGTATTCATCCTGGATGTTGGGTATATCGGGGTACCCTGTGTATTCATCCTGGAGGTCGGGTATATTGGGGTGCACTGTTTGTTCGGATTGATCGCAGAGGTCGGGTATATTGGGGTACCCTGTGTATTCATCCTGGAGGTTGGGTATATTGGGGTGCGCTGTTTGTTCGGATTGATCGCAGAGGTCGGGTATATTGGGGTACCCTGTGTATTCATCCTGGAGGTCGGGTATATTGGGGTGCACTGTTTGTTCGGATTGATCGCAGAGGTCGGGTATATTGGGGTACGCTGCGTATTGACACTTTTTCCTGTTGCAGATCATTTATTCCCATTTATTCTCCTTTCAGGTCGATCTTCTCGGACGGCGGAGTCACAACGTCTCCCATCATGAAGATTCCGGGGAAACGTTCCATTGTGGCGTTCACCTTGTAGCCCCCTAGATGGACCCCCCCTTGAATGCTGCCCCCTGATGGGCCAATCGGCACAGCTGTGAGGACTTTGGAGTGGTGGCAATGAGGTGGCCCATGAAGGACGTCTACCATTGATGCTCCTATCGTTCATCTTGTGTCCCTTGGATGGCGGCGGAGCAGGAGATGTTCAGTGGTGACAACGTCACGGAATGTAAAGTGGACGAGCAGTTCATGCAGTATCTGTACGCCGTCACCTACGCCGTCATCCTGATCCCTGGACTGATCGGGAACGTCTTGGCTCTCTGGGTGTTCTACGCCTACATGAAGGAGACCAAGAGAGCCGTCATCTTTATGATCAATCTGGCCATCGCCGACCTCCTGCAGGTCCTGTCCCTCCCGCTGCGCATATTCTATTACCTGAACAAGTCGTGGCCGTTCGGCCGATTCATGTGCATGTTCTGCTTCTACCTGAAATACGTCAACATGTACGCCAGCATCGTCTTCCTGGTCTGCATCAGCGTCAGGCGCTTCCTCTACCTGATCTACCCCTTCAAGTTCACGGACAGGAAGCGCGCGTCCGACGTGTATGTGAGCGTCGTCGGTTGGATCCTCGTCTGCGTCAGCTGCCTCCCGTTTCCCCTCTTGAGAATCGGAAATAACTCCACCGACAGCGATGCCGAAAATAAGTGCTTCGCCGATCTGCCGCTGCTGGACATCGGGACCACCAACTCCATCTTGGCCGTCACCTTTGCCGAGCTCTTTGGCTTCATCACGCCGCTGGCCGTAGTTGGCTATTGCTCCTGGAGGACGGTGATGTCGCTGAAGGAGCCGCACTCGGCTTCTCATGACCTTGGAGAGAAGAAGAAGGCCTTGAAGATGATCCTGACCTGCGCCTTCGTCTTCCTCCTCTGCTTTGCTCCTTACCACCTCAGCTTTCCCCTCGACTTCCTGGCCAAGGCCAACAAGATCCAGCGGTGTCGGTACAAGAAGGCCATCCTGACCTTCCATCCGGTGGCGCTGTGCCTGGCCAGTATGAATTGCTGCTTGGATCCCGTCATTTACTACTTCACCACCGATGAGTTCAAGAGACGACTTTCCCGGCAGGACATTGTGGACTGTACGGAGCTGGAAATGTTCAACAACGCTTCATAACTTGCTTCCTGCCAAGTCCTGGCCAATGGGCTGCCAGGAGGCCAAAGAGGGTTGACATGGGCCTCCTCCCCTTCACAGCTCTCAAAGGAACCCTAAGGATGGAGATGACATCCTGTACAAAGGGGGCCAAAGAGAGTTCACATGGGCCTCCTCCCCTTCACAGCTCTCAGAGGAACCCCGAGGATGGATATGACATACAACATGAAGGAGGCCAAAGAGGGTTCACTTGGACCTCCTCGCTTTCACAGCTATCAGAGGAACCCTGTGCATGGGGATGACATACAACACAAAGGAGACCAAAGAAGGTTGACATGGGCCTCCTCCCCTTCACAGCTCCCAGAGGAACCCCGTGGAAGGGGATGACATACAACACAAAGGAGACCAAAGAAGGTTGACATGGGCCTCCTCCCCTTCACAGCTCCCAGAGGAACCCCGTGGAAGGGGATGACATACAACACAAAGGAGGCCAAAGAGGGTTGACATGGGCCTCCTTCCCTTCACAGCTCCCAGAGGAACCCCGTGGATGGGGATGACATACAACACAAAGGAGGCCAAAGAAGGTTGACATGGGCCTTCTCTCTTCACAGCTCCTAGAGGAACCCCGTGGATGGGGATGACATACAAAACAAAGGAGGCCAAAGATCATTCACATGGGCCTCCTCCCCGGGGACGGGGATGACATACGATACAAAGTTTCCGTTGGTTTCTGTACACTTGAAGGAAATTCAGTAACTTCTACCCATTTATGGAGATTCTGCACTCAGGTTTTTGATTCGATGAAAACAATTTACAGAAATATATTTCGTAGATAATTTTGTCGCCATTTTCCAATTACTGACTCCGCCCTGAACCTGGCGAGGAAGGCGCTGTACTCCGCCCTGAACCTGGCGAGGACGGCGCTGTACTCCGCCCTGAACCTGGCGAGGAAGGCGCTATACTCCGCCCTGAACCTGGCGAGGAAGGCGCTATACTCCGCCCTGAACCTGGCGAGGAAGGCGCTATACTCCGCCCTGAACCTGGCGAGGAAGGCGCTATACTCCGCCCTGAACCTGGCGAGGAAGGCGCTATACTCCGCCCTGAACCTGGCGAGGAAGGCGCTATACTCCGCATTGAACCTGGCGAGGAAGGCGCTATACTCCGCCCTGAACCTGGCGAGGAAGGCGCTATACTCCGCCCTGAACCTGGCGAGGAAGGCGCTATACTCCGCCCTGAACCTGGCGAGGAAGGCGCTGTACACAGATCTGTATATTTGTAATATTGTTTTATATAAATATTTTGCACATTTGACAAGCGATGTACATGAACTGATTGCTGTGTCGGCTGCTATTGCCCTGACATGTCCCACCCCTGAGGAGCCAAGCTCCACCCACTCCTTGCTAATTTCCCTTCCAATCCTGTGATACATTGTATACCTCCCTGCATACAGCATGTGACAGCCCCTCGGTGCCCCCCTCCCCCGATGCACTCATCCAGTCTTCCCTGTGGGAAAATCTGCAAATATTTATTTTTATAGTAAAATGTCAGAAAATAAAATATTTGTATTTATTTGTCTGGAAGAGATCTGTATATATGGAGAAATATCTGCCTGTGTATTATACATCGTCCTCGTTATACGACAATCCACATCCATCTACCCAGAATCTGTATAATATATCTTATATCTGGAGAGCGGTGATGTCACTCCTGTATAATATATCTTATATCCGGAGGGCGGTGATGTCACTCTGTATAATATATCTTATATCTGGAGAGCGGTGATGTCACTCTGTATAATATATCTTATATCCGGAGGGCGGTGATGTCACTCTGTATAATATATCTTATATCCGGAGGGCGGTGATGTCACTCTGTATAATATATCTTATATCTGGAGGGCGGTGATGTCACTCTGTATAATATATCTTATATCTGGAGGGCGGTGATGTCACTCTGTATAATATATCTTATATCCGGAGGGCGGTGATGTCACTCTGTATAATATATCTTATATCCGGAGGGCGGTGATGTCACTCTGTATAATATATCTTATATCCGGAGGGCGGTGATGTCACTCTGTATAATATATCTTATATCCGGAGGGCGGTGATGTCACTCTGTATAATATATCTTATATCTGGAGGGCGGTGATGTCACTCTGTATAATATATCTTATATCTGGAGGGCGGTGATGTCACTCTGTATAATATATCTTATATCTGGAGGGTGGTGATGTCACTCTGTATAATATATCTTATATCTGGAGGGCGGTGATGTCACTCTGTATAATATATCTTATATCTGGAGGGCGGTGATGTCACTCTGTATAATATATCTTATATCTGGAGGGCGGTGATGTCACTCTGTATAATATATCTTATATCTGGAGGGCGGTGATGTCACTCTGTATAATATATCTTATATCTGGAGGGCGGTGATGTCACTCCTGTATAATATATCTTATATCTGGAGGGCGGTGATGTCACTCCTGTATAATATATCCTATATCTGGAGGGCGGTGATGTCACTCTGTATAATATATCTTATATCTGGAGGGCGGTGATGTCACTCTGTATAATATATCTTATATCCGGAGGGCGGTGATGTCACTCTGTATAATATATCTTATATCTGGAGGGCGGTGATGTCACTCTGTATAATATATCTTATATCTGGAGGGCGGTGATGTCACTCTGTATAATATATCTTATATCCGGAGGGCGGTGATGTCACTCTGTATAATATATCTTATATCCGGAGGGCGGTGATGTCACTCCTGTATAATATATCTTATATCTGGAGGGCGGTGATGTCACTCTGTATAATATATCTTATATCTGGAGGGCGGTGATGTGTCACTCTGTATAATATATCTTATATCTGGAGAGCGGTGATGTCACTCCTGTATAATATATCTTATATCTGGAGGGTGGTGATGTCACTCTGTATAATATATCTTATATCTGGAGGGCGGTGATGTCACTCTGTATAATATATCTTATATCTGGAGGGCGGTGATGTCACTCTGTATAATATATCTTATATCCGGAGGGCGGTGATGTCACTCTGTATAATATATCTTATATCCGGAGGGCGGTGATGTCACTCCTGTATAATATATCTTATATCTGGAGGGCGGTGATGTCACTCTGTATAATATATCTTATATCTGGAGGGCGGTGATGTCACTCTGTATAATATATCTTATATCTGGAGGGCGGTGATGTCACTCTGTATAATATATCTTATATCTGGAGGGCGGTGATGTCACTCCTGTATAATATATCTTATATCCGGAGGGCGGTGATGTCACTCCTGTATAATATATCTTATATCTGGAGGGCGGTGATGTCACTCTGTATAATATATCTTATATCTGGAGGGCGGTGATGTCACTCCTGTATAATATATCTTATATCTGGAGGGCGGTGATGTCACTCTGTATAATATATCTTATATCTGGAGGGCGGTGATGTCACTCTGTATAATATATCTTATATCTGGAGGGCGGTGATGTCACTCCTGTATAATATATCTTATATCTGGAGGGCGGTGATGTCACTCTGTATAATATATCTGGAGGGCGGTGATGTCACTCTGTATAATATATCTTATATCTGGAGGGCGGTGATGTCACTCTGTATAATATATCTTATATCTGGAGGGCGGTGATGTCACTCTGTATAATATATCTTATATCTGGGAGGGCGGTGATGTCACTCTGTATAATATATCTTATATCCGGAGGGCGGTGATGTCACTCTGTATAATATATCTTATATCTGGAGGGCGGTGATGTCACTCTGTATAATATATCTTATATCTGGAGGGCGGTGATGTCACTCTGTATAATATATCTTATATCTGGAGGGCGGTGATGTCACTCCTGTATAATATATCTTATATCTGGAGGGCGGTGATGTCACTGGTGTCACATGACTCAGACTTATTACAGTGATAGTAGAATATATATCTGAAGTAACTATAGTCATAGAAGCCGGTGTGCTTGCTATAGGATCTGGGGGTGGAAGGGGCCCCATTATGGAGGTGGTGGGGAGGGGCCCTGTCACGGATTCCCCACACGCCACGCCCACAGTGACTAGCTAACCGAGGTGCATGTGCGGCCGTGACTTGGGGTACGAGGGAATAAAGGGGACTGAACTTTGAATATATAAAGCCGTATATAAAATCAGCCGTGATATCCTTCCACAGCTGCACTACCTCTGCCCACCACCGGAGGAGACTCCACTCCAATCCAGCTGGCTGACCACACACTGGCAGATACAAATCTTATATACAATCTGGTGCACTGATTAGGGTTGAGGAGCAGTTTAGTAATCACACCCTTCTAGGGTCCCTCCAGCTATCTACAGTTTGAACCCCGATGTTATCACCCTTCCACTGTCCACACCCCCCTCCCCCCCCCGCACTAGATATACCACAAACAGTAGCCTGCCACCACCCAACATCCGCAGAACGGTCTGCTGGGGCACCCCACATACACAGATCTCCGTCTGGCCGATTTGTTAAGGCACTAAAATACAATCTAATCTCTCCAATTGTGAAATCGCAATAAACTGCAGAAAAAGTCACGCAAGAACCACTTTAGAAATCGCAGCAAATCGCGCTTGTTAAGATGCGACATTCATTAGATGTGATTTAAATTCGCAAGTCGCACCTGAAATCGCAGCGGTACGACCGGGCACTAGACATACTTTGTGTGAAGATCAATGACACTGCCAGGGGCCCCAGGGAGAGGTGGCTGGGGGCCATATCAGTATTTTGTGATGGGGTCCCCATGATTTGTAGCTCCGCCCCTGGACCCGCATGTCAGCCATCAGCATTGCAGATCTGTCGCAGATTTATAGTTGGGATGTCGGGGGCAGCGCAGTGGTCAGCACTTCTGCCTGGCAGCTCTGGGGTTTGAATCTCAGCCATGACACCACCTGCATGGAGTTTGCATGCGTGGGGTTCCTCCAGGTGCTCTGGGCTCCTGCACTCCGAGGACATGCTGGGAGGTTCGT